GAAGATTGGATGTGCTCGACTTCGATCAGCACACCAACAGCCTCGGAGGATCGTCTTTCATCGTCATCTGGCACCTAGGGATGATATCTCGAGGATGTGGGCCCACCTCTACTTGTCTCCGGACTGGATGCTGGCGCTTCTTGATGCATTGCCTCCTGCGACATGGCCATCCTAACTTTCTCGCTCAACCTCGCACCGATATTCGCCCTTGCGTCAACGGTCCAGCACACCCATTGCTTTGCAGAGTGCGCCATGCTGTCCGATCGTCGCCAGGGACAGTGCGAAAATGAAATGATCGATGTGCGTGCTGCGGACTGCGGGTGTAAAGATTAATGATGGCGGTCGTTCGAACCAAGGCTCGCTGCATTCTGCGTTTCATTAGCCGGCACGCTAGGAATCGATACCCGGCCCTAAATGTTCCGGTGGCCCCCATCCCGGCGTCATCTCCACATTCTTCCACTGTCAGATGTTCATCCATATGCCGCTGGCGGTAACGTCTTTATTGTTCAGCAGAATTGTAGACGTCACAGCTGGGACTCGGCACGCCATGCTCCTCGATGGAGATTTCCCTCTTTGCGACCATGCTGTCGAAGGGCGTTGTCGGATCGCTTCCACACCAGAAAGAATAAAGCAGGGTCTTCATGAACTACCGCACTGCCCGTCGTGTCCTTGCATTATCGACTCCGCGTCTGTCCTCATATGCAGGACATCGAATGGCAGCTGCATCGAATTCACCCTTCCAAGAAACCGTTTGCGCGGCCCCGATTCTCAGCATTCGAGGAGTGGGATGCTTGTCTGATTCTTCTGGCAAATACAATCCTCTGTCTCTTGTGTGGTCGCATATCTCGGGCTAGATTGGATGCTCTGGGGAGGTGCCGACACCTCTTGATTCGGCCTTGTGGCTTTGACGCCTCCATTTCTAGACAGGCCAGATTCTTGACTGGAAGGTCATGGTACACACCCATCAGACCGAGGAACATGTCTGTCGTACGCTCGTTGCTTGGGGACGGTATCTCTGCCGGCCTCGTGTAGTGCAGCATTGCACAGAAAATTTAGGGGCCCGGCAGCCTTGAAGCCGCTCCGCTACTACCATATGTTGGAATATTCAAAGGCGCTTGCACATGGTCTCGCCTCCGCGTTGCCTCTCAGCCTGCTGACTCGACTTGCTGAGAGGTTGCTTGGTCAAGTCAACCATTGATTCGATGGAATAGCTGAGTTACTTGGTCCAGGCATCTCCAAGATTGTAAGAGGTGGTGCGTATGTTGTATGCATTTGGCTGTTGTCGGTACAGGTCACCTTTGTGAAACCACGAAACAGAGGATCTCGAAGTATAACCAGAGGGCCACTCCACTGTGGCGCCGGAGCCAGCCCAATCATATCTGCCACCTATTCATCCGTCGATCCAGTCTCTGGCTTTATTGGATGTGGGTTAGACGACAGGGAAGGAGGATGCCGTCGACCAGAAACGTGGGCATCAACGAAAGGAGTCCTTGCATGGATGTTCTTGAAAATCTGATGGAGACTTGCTGCTCGGGGTCTCTACTCCTCAATTTGTCAGCTCTGTCATTGCCAATCCGTTGAGCCTTCCGCCTGGGAATGCTTCACGGCCCGAGCCAGAAACACCGACCTTTGTTCTCTATTCCTCGCGTTGTACACTTGGCGGCCAATGCGCCCATTGGTCAGATTTGGATGCCAACAACGCCCATACCACTTGTGATAGCATTGTACAACGGGAAGCAGGCTCGAAAGTGGGGTACGTCCGTCTCGAAGTGGAGCAGTCGGTGCCGCTTCCACACGCTGAGGGTGCTCTAGCTTCTGATTTCGTGTCCAGGTTGCATCTGCTGCCTCCAAATAAAATGTTGCCGAATAGTTAGGGTTGTATTGTGTGTTGCGCTCAGTCCGGACGCCTGGAAAAGTCCGACAGTACCAAGAGTCGTCGTGTCAGGGAAGTTCCTTACCTTTCCCGCGGTTCAGAGAGCCTGCATTTGTTTCTAATGCACCTGGAGATACGGCGCTCGAAAGATGAGGTGAGGAGGAGGTGAGGAGGTGATTGACTTCGGAGGTCTGCACTGTCAGTGCCCAACGTCTACGAGCAGCTCTTGGGCCTCTCGGCCGCCAGTCTGGTCAGCCCATCAAATCAGAGTCGCGGCTTGCGTGCAAGGGGTCGATCTCAAGCTTGCTTTGTTGCCGCCTCGCTCGCGCCTTTCTCGGCGACCGTCCGCACCGCGTCAGAGTCTCGACGCGCCCCATGGTGGCGCGCTGTTGGTAGGCTTGAGATGCCGTCGAGGTGCGTTGGCTTACGTATCGCTCCTGATGCAGTGCGGTTCTTGAGGTTGACGCCGAGCGACTTCGAGCTCTGTGCGCGCACCAGAAAGTGAGCTTAGCAATACCGGTAGTGGTGGGAGAACTTACCTCCGTGCATTGCTTTGCCATCTTCCTGTCAACCCCTTGGATACCCTTCTGGTCTGAGCCATTTGCATATTGGTTGCCGCATCCACGGGTCGGGTCGTGGTGCGACGACGCCATTCCGAACCTCCGCTTGAACTGCTCCTTGTGGTCGTCGTCGCTGTGGAGTCTGGCGCATCAGGCTGGAGCTGGAGAGGGTTATGTTTTGACCAGCTGCGCCTTGGGCGCTTGGTGTCGTCTCGGCCGTTTGGGTGCAGCCGTCGCCGCTGGTGGAGTATCGGCTTCGGAGGGCAAGCGGAGCCTTCGGGAGGGGTTTCACAAGACGATGAGCGCGCAGACTGTTCATGAAAACCGCAGGATTCGATACTGCTCGACTCTTGTTGATGGTGTGACGGGGTGCAGTGGGTTGTTTCGTCAGTGGAACTTCTCATCGCACCTCTGCGCCAATTGCCCGCGCACCCACCCGAACAACCCGCGACCAGTGATGCATAGAACGGGATGACTACGAGAGCACACAATCTCCGTCCATCAGGTTGTAACCCTGCGCCAAGGAAAGTATCGTTACGCTGTAAGAGCGATAACATCAGTCGCTGCCGTCCACGTGTAGAGGCACTACAACCGCAACTTTCAAAAGAGTGTCACAGTCCGAGTCCGCGTGCAGCATTTGCCATTATCCTCATTTGGCGAGCCCACTAAAGCATCATACAGTGGCAATGGTATAAATTTCCTCAACAACCTTGCCACAGCTGTAAGGCCTACGCCGTAGGACTACAGCGCATCATGTTCGGCCTGCATGGTCCAGCAATCTGCCAGAAGGTCCTGCCGATAGGTCCGTTGATCTCTCAAGATCCTGGGGTATCATCTTTGCATAATCATAGCTCCTCGGCGCACAACAGCTATATGACTACACTGCTGAATTCTCGCATTGTGAAACAAAGCCTGGAGTCAAGTTGCTGTGGTTCCGCTTCTATCGAGTCAGGGCCGAGGCTGGATATCCGTCCTCGTAGCTACTGGATTGCATAACAAAACGCTATTGCGCCTTTCCGGTTGCTGGAAGAAGCATCAACAAGACTCTTTCTCTCGATGCCGGAAGACCGTGACATCTTATCAAGGGCCGGTCTAACTTGATGAGTCCTCAATGCCGACAAGCCACTTTCAAACTCTACTCGCTGATCAACGCGCGGCGATTCGCTGAAGTCATGGGTACTTTGTGTTTGCCTCGCGGAACACGAAGCAACATGAGCGAGGATAAGTTCACGGCAGCATTAGGCACACACTTTAAGGGTGGCATAAGCGATTGTGATCATTGAAGGACAAGCTATGTGTTTGCCAGGTCCTATTCAGCCATTCATCTCCAATGGGTAGAGTCCTCCAGCCGCACATGCCTGCCCAATCTGACTCCCGGTTCATCCACGCCGCTTCATGCCGGTTCCTTCCAGAAGGAGCGGAGCAAGCCCTGTAGTCTGTCCATGTCAGTCATTGCAATACAAGCGGAGAAGCAAACAGGACTCACAGATACTTTGGAGCGGACTTGAGATCTTTGTCGCACACGCAACTCGCTCTTCGGAGGGCAATGGCGGATGTAGTGTGGGGTTGTGAAGGTGCGCTTCCGCATGGTGCCTTCCACGAACGTCAGCCGCAATGATCAGTGCCGGTTGCAAGACGGAAGAGGCAGAACTTACATTGTTGAGGACGTCCCGTCAATGGGTGACACGGTGCCGTCCAGACCCCGCTGCGGTGATGGAGATGTTTACTGGCCTGTCACAATGATCAGCACAAGCAACGATAGACGACTATGAAGCTCGAGGAACACAGCTTACCTTCCCAGCCCTGCAAGTGCGGTAATTGGAGTGTTCACTGGTTTCACGAGCACGCTCTCTCTATATAGCTGTGTTGCAAGATTAGCACGGGTGAAGTAGCTCGGGGGCAATGGCGGCCTACCTCCCAGCTCCGCGCATCTAGTAGGATTCACCCGAGTTCATCCCTAATTGTTTGTTGCCCAAGTGAGTGGAAGAGCGAGGGACTGGCTGCGCGCGGAGAATGTTAGCAATTGTTCCAAAAGAAGAGGTCAAAGGTGAGAAGATCTACCCGCAGCCACGCCCACCCGCTCCACCACTGAGGGAAAAGAAGATCAAGTCGCGGGAAGGGAGGAGAAGTGTTTATAAAGGCGAGGCAGGCGCGCTCGGAAAAACGTACCACCGATTACTAAGCCAAGCACGCCATCGGCCCCCAGGTTGCCAACCTGGAACCGAAGGTGAAAGGGAGAGAGTTCACGTGAGCTCGCCGGTCAAGCAGCCATCATGGATGAATAGACCGTGAATACTCCCGGCAGGATGCAAGGCATCTTGTGATCGGGTGTTGGCCTATGCATATGGAGCCAGAACGGCCTGCAACCTAAGAAGCGGCCTGGTAACGAGGATGACGGAGTTTCACCAATGATCGATACTCTGGCTTCCAATGCTCCTGTTGAACATCAAAAGCATTAAAGTCCGCGGTCTAGCAGGATTGAACGAGAAGTAGCAAGATTTGTATGCTGCCAGCGGCAAAAAGAATCCCTAATTGCCTGTTGGTATTCAACAAACAATTAGGGATGATGATCACAGCCAGAATCAAACTGGCGGCTTCGGCGGTGAACCGTCGACGTTCTACCACTGAACTATGCGACCGTGGATGTTATTTTGGAAATACTGCCACAGTCCTCAGTTTATACTGACAAGCAAGTTCAACATGGTTTGACATTTCATGATTTTGCAGGTGCAGAACAACGATACCCAGCGTACCTTGCGCCGAGGACCAAGATAGTCTATCTGGGATTCGCGATAAGAGAGGCAGGAACAATTGATCTATCAACGGAATCACCACGGCAACTTTAGGAAGGCACGATCACAAGTAGCCCCTCCACCACAGGAGCCGCTATTTCGAGCATGGAAAGGTCGTTGCGCAATACCTTCGTTGATGATGACTTTATGGAGTCTAGATAACATACAAGGTTGGCTCATACAGATCACTTCACGTCTCGTGGCACACGTTCACCTCGGTGGAGTCAACTGATGGAACTATGATTCTCGCAATGCCAGCCTGCACACATAAGTCCGTTTCTTCTGTCACCAACTAAAGTAATGAGTCTCCTCAAGTCGGAGTTTTGTCCTCCAGTGCTTCCTGCTCAATCCTCCAGATTGCAAGAAGTCCCCACAACAAGCCATTGCCCTGGAGACAACTTCCAGCGTTACCCTCAATGGCGATCGATGGAGTGTTCTGGCATTCATCGCCCACGAAATCGGCAACAGTACTGTCGCATCCTTCACCTTGCTCGAGCGCCTCAATGCCCGGCGAGAACGAGACTGTCATTGCAGAAAGCCTTCCAAGACAGAACAAAGTCGGTTGCGAGGTGTTCCCGAGATCCACTCGAAGGAGAGCGGCAAAAATTGGTCCTTCGCAGATGGCTACGGGCATCGGCGCTCTACCAGCATGCATATGGAAAGGCAATCGAGTCTTGGCATTCGGCACGACCCATGGAACTAGATGCTGGATCTATCCTAATAGTATGTTCGCATTCAGGATCTTTGTCTTGGGCCGTCGACCGAGTGTTCTACCATTTCTGCAAGCGCCTTTGTTTGCTCGTTGAGACTTTTTATCGCCATACTAGTGTCGATCTGCAACGAATTGAGGAGCAAGGTACACCGAGGCTTGCCCGAAAGCCGTTTGAAGGAGCCACCAATGTCCAGATAGACATCCCTCTACGTACGACTTGACTCATGCTTGAAAAGGCCTGTGCACGACTGGGAAACAGTTACGCTCACGCCTTGACATGAGCTATAGAATGGTCTATGAACCACCTTTCTGGAAACACTTCAGTCCTGGACGTTGATCTCATCTCGTCAGACACCAAGATTCATTTCTAGCAAAGTCACAACTCAGCTACTACAATGAACGCAGAGCCCTTGCTCTGAACGTTTCACGGGCCCTTCTCGGCTTGTCCGTCAACCGTAGACGACAGTCATCCATTGTCAGTCAGCAATCGCAACTCAGTAATCAATCTTCATTATGATCGCGAGCCACGGCAACTTCTTGGACCTACTTTGGGTCCCCACATGATACCTTCGGGCCAAGCTTCGGCCCACAGTTTCCCCCGGTGTCGCTGCAATGGCAACTCTGCCCGCCGGCGATGCTAGGGATGACCTTGCGACCCTATCGTGTCTCGCAATATACATCAGTTGCAGCGGAAAACACATCACCCAGCCGCAAATCTGACTCGGTTCAGTATATTCACATGTGTGGCACTATCTCTTCCTCTCCTACTAACGCACGTCCAAGCCGATTACCATGTGTTATTCATCGGTACGACTGCGTTTGGCAGACCAGAATTGAGAAAAGACCCCTTGGCTTTCGAGCGTGCGTACGAACATAACTTCACTAATAAGAGAAATCTACAGTTCAGAGAAACGCTGTGACTTTCTCAGGCTTATTCACTCGGTCGATGAGACTCTGAACGCCAACCCGCCAGGTTGCGCATCTTTTTGATATTCTAGATGCATGTGAGAGACTGTCTCCAGATGCTTTGTGTTCAAAGAGCAAATGGGAGCATGTGCAACATTACGGATTACGAGGCTCCATCTAGCTGCAAAGCACGTGCACTGTCTCACACTGCGACATCGCACGACGAGCTCCATATACTACGGTGAAGCAAGGCTTCTAGCACCACCGAAGGGTTCTGGATGGAAATAAACTACACATGTGTAGCGGAAAGCCGTGACGTGGTCTTTGTTGAGCTACCGACTCAAGAATGAGTGGGTCACCTCTCCAAATTTGGGTGTCGCCACTACTTGTCCCAACGGTACCCTTCAATGCTAGCTGCCACTTGAAGGAACCTCCCCTCACCCGGATGGTCCATCGAAATCGAAGAACGAATCTTTCAGATCGGTATCGAGCTGCCTTACGCCAGTCCCCGTCACTCCTGGCACTAGGTTTCGACCCTCTTCCATTCCCCCAGTCACACCCACATTCTCATTCAGTTACGTTGCTTATGCACGGGCTTTTCTGTGATACCCCACGAGCATTTACGTTTCAAAAGCACTCGGTGTTCGCAAGGTCTGAAATACACATGTAATCGCTTCACCGATTTGGCTGCTTTTGGTCGAGCATTGTTTCATTTCTTGCAAGACATGGCGCCTTCGTTTGGTGGAGTGCGCTCGATCGCCTCTATGGGGTTTCTCACGAGAAACAGCTCTTCCAATAGGGATTCTCCAACAAATCCGTCGCCTAACCCTGTTGAGACGGGTAGATTCACATTACCAGTTACATGTTCACAGGTCAGAGAGCATTTGCATAGCTGTATTCCGGACACCCTTCCCAGCACTTCGGCCGATGTGCATGAAGTGCGATATTTCCTCTACCACCTTCTGACTTTGAAGGCAGACGAGGTGGGAAGGAAATGGCCACAATGGGTCCTAGAAACCTGTGCCGCCTGGGATGGAACGGGCGCAGACCTTCGAGATATCGACGAGTCGAAGCTACGCCTGTTGTGTCCAGCATCCTGGGGGAAATGCCTCATATATGGGCGGGAGGAGCTGGAGCTGACCTGTCCACCGCAATGCCGGGTCGAGATAGGAAAAGTTATTGAAAGGACAGTGTCAAGATTGAAGAACAAGGAGGAAATGAAAGGAACACTCCACTTGCAGTGGCAGCAGACGCGCAATGGCCACAACACGGCCTCAAGATTAGTCGAAGCTCGCAACTGCTACAACAAACGGACAAAAAGTAAGGCCTCACGCTGGGATGTTCGAGGGCTAGTTACAGGTAGATCTGCCGAGAGCGCAATCAGTTTGCAGACGGATCACGCACAAAGTCATCCTCCTTCTGAAACCCACTTGGAGATCACCAAGATCCTTCAGGTCCCGAGAGCGAAGTCAACTGTATCTGGTATGACCATGTATAGAATGCAACCAGCTTCTGAAGAAAACCAGCAACTTTGGAAAGACGAACAAAGGGAGCATGACTGCAGAGCGAGCTCGGCTGCTTCTACGGTATCCGCGGTCAGCTTTCACTCGACCCGCCCCGCCTGTACCCCAGGTACGGTCCACGCTGAGGGCCAAAGTGCCCAAAGAGACAATTTTCAGAGCTCTCGATTGGCCGTGTCATCACTTGGTTTCATCTCATCGCCGAAGGAACAAGGTCACGGCTCGTTGCAGTCAGCTCGAATCCCCCAAAACGGTGTTTTGGACTCAGTCGCTCCATCGCCGTCGCGTCCTCTTCTATCTTCTATTCAGCACTCATTATCGCGAGTCAGCAATTCAACTCGGTCTTCCAGCAGTTCTGATCCTACCGCATCTGCTCGGTCGAGCTCAACAGCTCCAACTTCACCTTCAGCGAGTATACAAGAGATGGTACCGTTTCCAAGGGTTGAATCTCGAGGATCCAATCCATTCACCGCATCCTACCAGAATCGTCATGTCAGCAAACAACCCTCACAAGATACCATTGATCCTCCATTGACCCTATCACCTTGCCACATAGAGATTGCGTCAGATATAGAGTCAAGATTCATGAGTTGTTCCCCAGCATACTTCTACCATCCTGGAGCTATTTTGAGTTATCAACCTGATCGACCTATACAGCCCACACATTCTACATGTTCCCATCTAGCCGTAAACGATTCAGCCTTTGGTAAATGCAGTTTTATATCTTCCACTCCACCCCAGAACAACTTCTCCCACCTTGGACTCTATGATCTTGATGTGTCCACGGCTTCAGGTGGAAATACTCCCCAGGGCCGACAGCGATGCTTTTCAGCCGTGTCTCAGCATTCAGCTCCTATTCCATCGAGGTATTTGCGTCGTTCGCAACCTCGAACACCAACAGTCTATCCTTCCATTGACTTGCCGGAGTGGTTCAGCTCTTTGGAACCTGTTCAACACACTTCAAAAGTCAACACGAATTCGATGAATTACCCACGTCCTGACATCTGCGCTCCAAGAGAGCATCCTACGGGACGAACGTCGCCCTTCTCTTCTTCTTCTTCTTCTTCTTCTTCTTCCATGGCTTTGAGTGTAGACCAGAATAGTGGAAGGATCACACCACGCGGTCATCCCACCCAGACTTCAGTCGAGGGGTGTCTCGTGAGCGCAAGTCGATTGAGATGCACTACCCACGCGGATCAGCACGCTCGTCAGCAAGCGCAATCGATGATCCTAAAGAACAAGCCTTCGTTCGCCCAAGACAAGCTTTTATACCGTATGAGCAGAGAGCATGGTCTCGACAACAGTCCAGACCGTATGGGACCTTGCGTGCGTTATACAAAACCTGGGTATCCCCGAGATCTCCTTCCGACATTGGTGGAGACCATCAGAGAAAGAGAGATACTTGCTGGAAAAGGACAAAGAGGCCAACGTGGTACCATTCACAGCAACCAGATAGACTACAATCGCTAGTGAGTCTTGCGCATATACTGATTAATTGATACGCATCATACTAACGATGATTCCGCAGATGGTCCGACTATCCTAGTACCTCGCAGTTGCGCTAATGCGACTCGCTTTACTTTATACACGCCACTTCTAAACTCTCGATCCCCAATACTACATGCATCAAGAATTCCTCTAACGCAAGGCCTGACATTCTTGGCTAGCGCACAAGTCAAAGGGCCCCACTTTATCTTCTTCTTTACCTG